GAAATCATTTTCCTGTAAACAGCCAGAGAGTAACACTTTAAAATTGGTGTTGGGGATGCAACCAGATGGGGCTTTGTATGTGCTAGGCAAGTGTTCTACCACTGAAGTATACTCCTAGTCTTTACTAGTACTTTAAACTTTGTTGACTATGTGGTTAGGTGTCTGGATCTAGCCAATAGGCCATAATGTGCTGGTTCTTGATCTAAAAGACAGTAATTTTTGAGTCCTTTTGTTCTAAACATGACTGTTTCTGTCTGGAAGAGAGATATGTGCCAGATGCTTGGGTGGTAAATGACAGTAGGGTGCTTGTGAAATTCAGAATTATGGAGAAGCAGCCATGGACAGATAGCCACACTGGTATTTATCCGTACTGTGTGACAGGTCAAGAGAGAAAAATGTAGGATACTGTAAAAGGTCATAAGAGGTGCTTCTAGGAGTGAAAGCAACCTCTCCTACCTCATGGCTGATGTCAGTTTCGATTCTCTTTCCCTACCACCTACAGAAAAGTACTCCTCTCATTCCTTTTCTTCTCCCTGGCAGTCCTTCATCTATCTCCTACCTTGTTTATATTCTTCAGAATACTTCTCTCTACCATAGTTAGAGTGTGTACCATGTTTACTGGTTACCACCTCTTCACCCCTCGCATATGGGACCTTTTTCTTACTAACCTCTATATCTGTAGCATCAGATACTTAGTAGGAACACAGAATATATTTGTCTAGAGGTTGGAGAGATGGCTTAGAGATTAAGAGAGCTTGCTGCTATTATAGAGGACTAGAGTTGGATTTCTAGCTCCCATGTCAGACAGCTCGCAATCGCCTGTAACTCTAGCTAGTTTCACCATCTGGCCTCTGAGGGCACATGCACATACATATGCATGCTCATGCACACGTGTGTAAGTACACAAACACACACAGACACACACCTTATAATACACTAATATCCTTGGGAGCTCATAAACAGCCAGGTTTGGGAAAGGGCTCAATTTAAAAAGTGGTTCTGCTATTTGAACTACCAAATTCTGATCAAAATTTAGTTGGAGGTTTTTTCCCTCCATCCTGAGAGTGATGAGAGATCTTTTATTCCCACTGAAGCCTGGCAAGAGCTTCTAGAGAAAACTATCCTCACACCTTAGCTGGCAGAATCTAGACTTTGTCCTGGTTGGTAGTTTGACCAACTTACAGACTTATTCTTTAAGAATTCCCCAGGGCCGGGCGATGGTGGCGCACGCCTTTAATCCCAGCACTCGGGAGGCAGAGGCAGGCGGATCTCTGTGAGTTCGAGGCCAGCCTGGTCTACCAAGTGAGTTCCAGGAGAGGCGCAAAGCTACGCAAGAGAAACCCTGTTTCGAAAAACCAAAAAAAAAAAATTTCTAATTTATAAATACATTTGGGGTTATAAATTATAAATGTACTGCCTCCTGTCAACATTGTATACTTCTATTTGATGATTTCTGTGTCAAACATTATATGGAAATGTTTCCAAGTATTTTCTGTATTAACTGTGAATGAATAGAACAAAATAAATTGCCTGTGATGGAAAAATAAAATAAAATAAAATAAAAAAAAAGAATTCCCCAGGATGGGGGCTGGAGAGATGGCACAGTGGTAAAGAGCACTGGCTGCTGGCTACTTTTCAAGAGGTCCTGAGTTCGTTCCGGGCAACCACATGGTGGCTCACAATCATCTGTAATGAGATCTGGCGCCCTCTTCTGGCCTACAGGCATACATGCAAGCAGACCTCTGTATACATAATAAATAAATCTTTAAAAGAATTCCCCAAGATGAAATGTTGATGGTTTTTCTACGTGGTGATTTTTAGATGAAATAGCAGGCATTTCTTTTTTTGTTGGAAGAATCCCATATTATAAGCAGGTTGTAAGGGGAAAAAACTTAATGGCTACCCAAGGCACATTTCAAGACTACAGAGAAGCTGAAAAAACGGTACAATGAACTTTGTTTTTTAAGATTTATTCATTTTTTATTTATGTGTATGCGATGTGCCTTCATTAGTTTATGTGCACCTTGATGCCTGCTAAGGCCAGAAGGCATTGAATCTCCTGGAGCTGGAGTTACAAGGTGGTTTTGAGCCACCTGATGTGAGTGCTGGGAATTGAACCCAGGTGCTCTGAAAGAGAGCAAGTGCTCTTAACCCCTGGACCATCTCACTAGCCCCCTGATTATTTATCTTTCTGATGAGTTTGAAGGTTGGAGACAGCATGATAGTCAGCTCCTAAATGGTTCTGTGTTTATATCTCCTAAAATCAAGGCTTTCCTATTAATATGATTATCCTCCAAGAAATTTAATGCCAGCTCTACATCATTTAATATACATCCACTTAAAAAATCTCTTCTTAGCCAGGTGTGGTGGCACACATCTTTAACCCCAGCACTCTGGAGGCAGAAGCAGGCGGATCTCTCTGAGTTTGTGACCAGCCTGGTCTACAAATCGAGTTGCGGGACAGCCAGTGCTGTTATATAGAGAAACCCAGACTCGAAAAACAGACAAAAAATAAACAAATAATCTCTTCTTATTTATCTTAAAAATACAAATTTTAGAAGACTATATGTTATAGATAGGTGGTGGTGGTGGTGGTGCACACCTTTAATCCCAGCACTTGGGAGGCAGAGGCAGGCAGATCTCTGTGAGTTTGAGGCCAGCCTGGTCTACAGAGTAAGTTCCAGGGCAGCCTGGGCTACACAGAGAAACCCTGTCTTGAAAAACCAAAAAAAAAGAAGAAGAAGAAGAAGGAAAAAAAAGAAAAAGAAAGACATGTGTTTTAATCTGAGATTTAGTCAACATTTATACATTGAATTGGTTATGACTTGTTAAAAATCTTTTTCTTATGGGCTGTTAAGATGGTTCAGCAGGTAGAGGCAGCTAATGCCAAATGCCAAGCCTGCTGACTGAGTTCCATCTAAGGAACCCACATGGTAAAAGGAGAGGACCAACTCCTAAACACTATCATTTCACCATCTCACTGCAGCACATGTATGTGTCCACACTCACACACACACTATTAGAAATAAGTAAATAGGGATGGAGAGATGGCTCAGTGGTTAAGAGCACTGGTTGTTCTTCCTGAGGTCCTGAGTTCAGTACTCAGCAACTACATGGTGGCTCACAACCATCCATAATGAGATCTGGTGCCCTCTTCTGGCCTGCAGGCATTCATGCAGACAGAATACTGTATACATAATAAATCTTTTCAAAAAAGAAAGAAAGGAAGGAAGAGAGAAGCAAATGAATTAATAAAATTTTAAAATTTAAAAAAATGGAGAAAGCAATAAAGAAGGTACCTTTAACTTCTACATATATGTACACACCTGAACGCATACACAGAAACATGGATGTGCATACATACTAACCAAGGAGTGCCATTTGATTAGTATAATTCCATTTAAGAGGCCTTTTGAATGTTTTTTCTGTTGATACTTCTCCATCTGTTTAGTAAGATCATATACTAAATTTTTTTT